TCATGGGGTAAACGGTACAACAGAAGGAACCGACCGAATGTACGCACGCGACATCAGCTGCTGGAAACAGCATTGGATACGCACCAAAAGCGACAAATTCAACTGGGTTCCAGGTGAACCCCCCGTTGAAACCAAACTGATATGCACAATGAGTGTACTTCTCAATGCACGCTAGTTTTCATCAGTCTACTGGAATTCTACCTATGCGGGGGTGCATTTTCTGAAAACCAGTGGTGCGACACTGAGCCACATCGACAATAGAAGGTTATCATACACTCCCCAGTCTCCGCAGAGATCTTCATAGACACTAACTTGAACCCCTAGAACACTCAAGGGGTGCCCATTGCAGCGTAGCTCCCGCATCCGATCAGCCGGCATGGCGTGGGTGGTGAACACTTCCTGCCTGGTTGCAAGCAGTGGAGTGCGAAAATCACGCAGATGGACAAATGTCCGAATTTCGAGGGACACTCGATAGCACCAAACTACTCGCAGCTATCCAAAGAGGGTTGGCGAAACAACAAGGAGTTCAGCTACTCTCATATTGGCAAACGTCACAAGTTATACTCATCTAAGTATCGGTTGTTCGTTTACGTTAGTGACCCATGCACACGAATGAAACAATACAGTATCTTTGTGAATACGACCGAAATCCAGCCCTCCATAGGCTAGCTAGGACCACCGAACCATTCAGAAATTATTGTTACGTTGGCAGGAGTCGGCATCGAAGATGATCAGAATTTCCTAGATGCGTTGATTAGCTCCGCTACTATTACCGAGACACAGGCTCGTCTGCTCTCCAATCTAGATGAACCATACTTTGTCTGATTCGGACTAGTCATACGCGAGCTAAGCAGCCTGTCGATATCTCACGCGTGTGCTCACGTGTGCTGTACTGACAACCCATTACAACCGTAAACTTGTGTTGATTGTAGTAGCCGATATGAAATTGGAGGGGTCTCACTGCATCAGTTTCCAAGCGGTTCAACAGGTTTGCACATCGCGATTCCATCGTCCTTGGTAATACAGAAAATGTACAACGTAATTGACGGCGGAAAGTTAGCTTTGATTTTGCGCTACGAATAAATTATAAAGAATGCCAGATGATCAACATTTTATCACTCAGGTACAGTACAATGAATTTTCGCCCATATTCTCATTTCCAAAATCCATCCTGGACCACGCTAGGCATTGCCACTTGCCCTCGACCGGGCTAATATGTTCTTAGGTTGCTATGTAAGCATGATCTAGAAAACAACCTCAGCTTTTTGAATGCCGACACACTATCGCGTCAAATCAACAAGTCGATTAAACAACAATCGCATCAGTTCCATCAGGTAGCGGAATTCAATTCCAGTTGAGACAATAGCAGGAGAAGTGACGCTCTGCTTCAGAAGGTGATTGGATATTCCTAAAATCGATAGCCTATGGAATTACTTTCTGCGCAATGGTGACGTGAAAATCGCAGGTGATTTCCTAATATTGGATGATCGTTTTGTCATATCAACGGAAACATTAGCATCAAGTAATGAAACAATATCACAAGAACGCCTGGGATTTGGCAAATTGAATGTCGTCGTTCGGAGATGTGCAGCCATCAGTTATCAGCTGCTAAGTTAATCCCAGTGCAATCTCGCTGGTTTTCTATGTTGAGCCAGTGGATTTCGCTGGTCTAGTCGTGACTGTTAGCGATGCCTTCTCAGAGTGGTCCGTGTTAATGATAAGCCAAGCTTTGGATACGATATTCACTCCTAGCGAATCGTTTGCGTTGTTTGAATTTGTGATACCTCTGGTAAGAGATACCAGAGAACATGAGTTTTTTTCGGTTTTCTTCTTTCTCCATGGGCTTGACATTCACGTACTTCGCCCTATCATCCGAATCCCAACTGTCCAGCTGTGAACTTTGTTGACAACCTCAAACGTGGCTTGTGAATCTCGGAAAAGGAAATACGAAACAGAACCTGAAGTCATATCAGGTGACACCGAGTAACCCGGTAAGTCCGGAGTTTTTCTGGATAACCTCCAGAAAAAACTTTTCCAAAATATGTGAGTATAGCAAACCCTGACACGGATAGACGACATAGTGCAATATCACGTTACTGTGGTCCCGACACCCAGGAACTTCATCATCTGGGTGAATCATGTCAGCCCAATGTAAATCCAACAAATTTCCCTATCAGTTGTCTTCACCAGTGTTTTCAGTGATGGACCAAAACAGCGTAATAGTCTATCACTTTGGAGCCCCACATCACTTCGGATGTGGCATTCTTAGCAGTTCTGCACTGAACTTCCTAGGCTCGAGGTTGCAGTCATGAATGGTGAACTTTTCATGGAACTAATAAACGAAGCCCTGATATTTTATAGAATCATCATTATAACTATAACTAACATCGCAAGCGTGTGTATCCGAAATCAACCGCAATGAGAAGTAGCGCTCTCTCAGCAAGAATAACACCTTTTTTGGTTCTTAATATTGTATGACAATTAGGCACTTTGGTAATGTGTATTTCCATTTTGAGTTATAGTAGTTTACTGAAAAAGCGAGTTTATGCTCTCCAGTGTGTTGAAATTATGTTCTTGATTGGGTACGGAACTATAAGAAAAAAACAGCATCAACTTCACCATTAATAGCACACTTTTCAAACAGTGACTATTTAAAAAGCAAAGCAACCAACTATAAAATGTGATAAGAAACTGAAGGTTCTGGTTCCTCTCAGAGAAAGAAGCTGACTTTTGAGGAGGTTGGTATGGCAATGCTGGTTCCATTCACTCTGGATGTGAAATAACAATGAATGAGCATTGTTTCATTAACTCACTGTTTAACAGTCTGCTCACATAGAAACGAGATTAATTTGTGTATGTTGACGTATGCGAGTAACGCTATGGGCCTCCATACTACTGAAGTGACCAGAGATCAATTTATTTTGTCTTCACAGGCTTATGAATTCTCAGTTCACATAAGGCGTACAATGGATCGATACAGTGGCAACTCATTTGCTAAGACCAATATCGATTTCTGTCTGTTTTCAAACTGCACGTGACAGATGGCTTCGGACGAAGCCGTGGCATTATGTGGCTTGCTTTAAAGCGGTGCACGGTGAAAAGCAGGACAATGTACGTGTTTGAATGCGGTAGTGTGCTTGTATTTACCGGTATCATATTTTCGCTTTGTTGATTGGTTTGGTGTAGGACTTAGTTTATTATCCGGACGAAATTTGTAACTCTTCCATGTGCTCACGAACTGTTGGCTTTCCGAAGGGCAAAAGCACAAATTACTACAACATAGTTCATTTATCCTGACACCACAACACTGTTTATGCGTTCAACTACCTTCGAAGTGGTAAGAACGGATGACTTGACATTCGCGGTTGATGAAATCATTTGAATTAGGGGTACCAAAACATTCCGTTACTTTCAATGTCAACCAATGATCAAGCGCTTGTAGTGTTTGAAACAATGGGTAATCGTGCTGCTTATTCTTCAGTTATTTTTCTGTCAGGACAAAAGTGAAGAATTTTTCCAAGGCGCAGCGTAAAGACGGTTCTTCAGGTGAACATGTGGCAAGCCATGTGTATTTGTCGTGAGTTAGAATGGCATCATTGATAAATCCTTTGTTTTACTTACTGAAATGAACATGACAGTATTACAGGAAACCCCGGTCCCAAACCGGAGTTTGGGACGCAGCTGTCAAGTATAGCTTAGGAGACAATGTCGACATGTAGGATATACTACTTTCCTATGATAGCAATTATCAGTGTTTATCTAGAGAGTTGCTTATTCAAGACACCCGAGTCTTCCAGCCCGAGAGACCTGAAAATATAATGTACGTTGGTTGATTTTTGTGCTATTGGAAACATCATCATCACGAGCAAATTCATTCAATCGATGGATGCGTGGCTGATTATGACAGTTGCCCGTGACGCGTACGAATAAACATTTCCTATATTTAGTCCCAGCTTTATCAGTGACAATACAGTAAACAGTGGCACTGTTGAAGCGCGGATAGTTTTGGGAAAACAGTAGCCTGCGTTCGGCTTGAACCGCATAACCTAGCTCATAGTAAAATCGTCACCAGTATTTTCCCACGAGTTCGCTGTTCTGTGATCAGAATCAGCATGGAAGAAGTATGTACCTGCTCTACTGTTTCCCCAACCCCTCTTGTTCAGTAATGTTGGCTTTTTCTCGAACACGGCTGAAATATCCTAGTACGGTAGGATACGGTAAGATACTTTGAAACAATCAGCACTGTAAAAAACAACTAGCAGAAGAATGCGAAGGAAAATGGCTTTATTTTTATCGCAGTTCTGTAGTTTACTCAAAATTTGCCGTGACTTCCTTGACAATCTCGCTCAAGTTCTTGGTTTCGCATTGCACACTTGCAGGAATTTGCGTAGGTGATTCTGAAGATCCTTAACTCAACAGCCAGCTGGTTATTTTCTACATAAAAAGCCACGAGGGCCAGTCAAACAATTGCAGTTGACATAACACATTACTTTAAAGTTTACTGAAAACTCTTCGATATTTGAGTTCCAAATGAGGGTTGATAAGTATATACTTACTTGCTTGACATAATTTTTCAATGTTCTCCGTTAAAGAAACGCAAAACTAAACCTTGAGTGACCACATTTGGTAATAATGGCAGAAACATGAAGATAATGACATGGAACGGGGTCAAGACAGACCTGCGGAATACTTTTCGATCTTTTCACATGTGTAGAAAGTGCTTTCTCTGCAAAAAAAATCCCGAACTAGCAAAAACATTTTATTCTTCGGGTGTTTGTATGCCGGAAGATTTCTTGGCATGACTCACAACAACTGTTGAAAAATTCTTGCAACTATCAAGCTATGAATAGACCTTCAAGCGGTGCAGTGGGTCCTACCTGAGTAAATGATCTGGTTAATTGTGAGCTGAGAATAACCACATTTTCAGGCAAACACATCCGGTTCACACTTGGTAAAATTTGCTGCTCCCAACCTACATTGTCTGTTTTCACTTGCTATAGATTCTCTGCAACTTTGGGGTAACGATGCATTTGATGAAGAACGTGCTTTCAAAAACCGAGGCTGGGTGTCCGGTATGAGTCGGACGTCGAAGTTTGGAAGCCCGGTTCTCCGGCTACGAAGATTCAGTCATTCTGTTAATCTCCAGTGGGCCAAACAACTCCATAAATGCCAAACAGGAGGCCTTGCAGGTAAGTAGCAAAGCGATGCGGATAAAACAAAAACAGAAGAATAAGCCGGTTTAACTGTGTTTTAGAGCAAAAGAAACATCAAAAGAAAAATGAAAGAGAATGAAAGCTACTGAACTAATGAATGTATCGACTTACATAGGAAAACAGAATCGATTTAGCCGCATAGCGAAGGCGATAGCTTCCATTCACTATTGCTACTGATTGTCTGGAATGATCTAGTTCATGCGTCACTCAAAGCTCTTCGAAGAATGTCATAAATAGGATATTCAGGTGAGATTCCACTGGGGATCTTGTTGACACCAAATTCATGAGGTATGTATTGAGACCCTGAGATTATTCTTCACTCATTGACCAGACTTACTCAAACATGGCCTGGTTAGTCCCGCGGAGCGCATTTATGCCCAATCTATCGGCTCCTTCGTACCCATTGACTGTGCGAATACAAAAGACGATGGTAAGATGTTTCCACATGGATTGTACCGATTCGCCAACGACTACTGTACGATAACTGATAGGTCCACCTACGTAGTGCATCAACACAACACACTACGCGAATCATGACACAAACGGATCCCACCTATTTGAAGGTGCACAATTACACAAACTGGAAAAAGCTTATCAACGCCAAACTCTGTATGTGTTTTACACTACGGACGCATTCATGATGTATTTTTCTCCTGGCTTTTAAGTTCGCCGTAGCCTTCTCTAGAACGGCGCGAATAGGTGGTTATAAGGTCCCACGTGGTTTCTTCATACATACATCCGATGCGTATGAAACCCATAAAATATTCACGAAATCACATATCAGTTTCCGGAAAGTTGTGTTGGTCACCCACTAATATATCGGCACTATTCACCAACACACACGCATATCACTCAATCACCGATGTACACATGAAGGTAAGTAGCGTGGTCAAAAGCGGTTTCAGTTAAATACTGTAGTTTGCATACGAATTTGGTTGCGATGGGAGACTAAAATCAATTCAGTCACATCTCTCTTTTTTGGTTATCTCGTGCGACATATTCAGCCGAACAAACCATCATAAACAAGAGATTTAACTCGATCCAGTTGCATCTTCTGCCAAAATCAAATTCATGTGCAAATGAGAGTATTCGTCGAATCGCGTTCAAGATGAACGGATTGTCTGAGGCTGTGTTCACCTGAGGAACTCCAAAAAGGGAGAAAACGGCTGTGGACTATCAAACAGTTTTCAGCAACAGTATGAGATTTCAGTTAGCATCTTCTGTTTTTTTTTGCTTGACTTATTCGTTGAAGATCCACCTTGATCATCGTACAGTTTTGAGTTACCATTTTCAATGACTGGGTTTGTGCCTCGATGGATCGCTTTAAATTTGTTTATTCTATACTAGACCTATTCGTTAAAAATGCTCATACTGTCGATTCCCTGCCATCAAAACTAGAACTGGACGCTCCAGTTGAAATATGGCGTGAGTGCATCATGCACCAAGGGAAGTCCAGCTCCCTTTATTCATCATACGGAAACTATTGGTGTGAAATTTTCCAACCGAAGATCGTGGTGGCAACGCAGTTATACCGCGTGACTAACAAGTCGTTTACTCGGTAGCCTTCCACAATTGAATGCAACTGTGTGCAGATGAGAATGGCAGCTAGGCAACACGACAAAGAAACCCTAGGTGGTCTGAGTTGAATTGATCAACTAAGGGCAACGAAAGAAAACAAGAGGTGACTTACCTGTTGTATGAGAAGGACCGTAAATAAGAAGTACTAGCCTGAACTGACAAGGTTGCAGCGGCAATCGGCGAACAGGTTTGGTTCAGAACACCATGTACATTTGCTGACAAACTACATGGATTCGAATTCTAAAAGATAGCATATTCGTATTCTCACCTGAAACTTGGAAACCTGCTAATGGTTTATTACCTGTATTTTCTACGGGTTAGATAGCACCGTGTGACAACGCAGTGCCGTCATAGCACTAAGACACATCCAGCGGTACCAGTTAGAGCCTCCGTATATTCAGTCCGATACAGTTTAACTGTTCAGTCTGTGTAGGATAACCCAGTACATGAAAAATTCGCTCCACAGACCGACCAAAATGTCCGCGTCACAATAGCAGTACGGTGTTCAAGCCTGTCTTGGAAAAATGCTCTACCACGAGCACAGTGACAGTATATTCCGATAAAGTGTGCATAATTCAGTAGCTGACAACAATGAGCCAGACAACGAGTAAAGTGTCATTCCGGTCATACCTAATAGCTGTGGCATTGCGACCGACCTCAAGCGCCTGTGCTGAATGAATGTCCAAAGATGTGCTTCGAAGGATGCATACTCACAGAAACGTAGCATCATAGTGAGAATAACTAAAATCCATATCATTTGAACACCTCATTAGTACTGTATGCTCAGCATACACAGGGTAGCCACTAGAAGTGTTCTTCAAGAGAGATGTGCGTGAACAAGAAGTCGAAAAGTCCGGCCACAAATCCACTTGTGTCACAAATGCCTTGTTGCCTTCCGAAAGGGATGTTTTTAAGAGGAGGTAGCTCCATTGTTCAGGTGGAAGAACGTTTGGTGCACGTCATGAATATTACGATCTTGAAGAAGAAATTAGACAACAAAATTTAGCCTGCCGAAGATTGGCGATTTGGTGACGAGTTCGAACCGCTATGACTACGGTATATTTCAAAACGACTTCTACGGTACAATTACTGGAGAAAGTAACCATTCATCCGATAGAAATACTCCGTGAAAGACACGAAGTGGAACGCTTCTATATACGCATATACGTGAAGAAGTTTCGCAGGAATTGTTACACTTGCTGGACAGACTATTTATCCACACTGTTAATAGCATGAAAACTTGAGTCAGTCGAAGAGCATCACAATTGCGCTATGGTTCGAAGGGTACCGATACAAAATCCTTCTTCGGGCTGCATGGGGTTTCATCAAAAATTGAAACTTCATTTAAGACGGTAGATTGCATGTAGTTAGCCCTAACGGAAAGCATAGTTATCACCAAATCAGGAGTATGTGGGCTTCTCGATTGTAAGGGATTAAGGAAATCCTTTAACCAACCTGTTAACCAAAAAGAGAAACAAGCTACCTAGAAGTCTGGATGGACTGCAACATTCCATGAAAGAGGAAGCTCAAAAGCAGCTCTCTGGGGTAATTTACAGTCGGCAAAGGGAGTGTCTACCCTAAAATATTCAGCATTTTCCAGCTGTTTATTCTTGGAATGCTTTTTCCTGCTCAACTAGATTCAAAACTATCCCCGTCAAATACACTCAACGAAACAGCCGATGACATAAACCAGGGGTGTCCGAACTATGGTGCACTAGCTTACCACCCATTGCCACTAGGAGCCAAAGTTGTAACCGTTTCCCTTTCTCCCGTAACACGCAGAAGAGCCGCGGTGGAACAATTCAGACTTCAAAGGTAGACTTCCTTTAAGGCATGGGTTAGGATCACAGGAAGCAGAATGACAAATGCACTACAATGGGCTGCCTGAATTTGACGACCAGCTGACAGCTGGGTTGGAAAACAGATCCTGACATCCCGTGTAAGTTTGGGAAAATTAAAAACGACAGACTGGTTTGTCATGAAATAACTTATTCGCCAGCCACAACTGATGGTGGAGCATAGTGGATGGAGCAGATGAATAGTATTCTGGTAAAACTAACGCACCTTAAAATATCAATCTATTGTGAATACCCAAGAAACTGCCCAAAACCGAGTCGAAAATATCTGACACAGTGATCGTCCTGGAGGACCCATGCTCTAGGAGTTTACAACAAATCCTCACCCTAGTATTCCATAGAACAGGCTATCTCCTGCTATTAGAAAGCGCGAGGAATTTTGCTCCCTAAGAAGAGCCATGTACCCGATTATCCCCAAGAAAGCAAAGTAAAATCCATAACTCTCAGGGGTCCGGTGGTAAGCTTGAACAATGGAAGCCTCGTACTCAAATCACTGTATTGATCATTCCCAAACTGCTAAAAGCATGGCTAAGTGATGTGAGCAGTTTTCCTTCTAAAATAAAATGTCTACCGTTCGGGAGTGGGAGCTTACCATTACATTAAAAAGTACGCAGTTGAACATGGGCTGCACAATTCCAGTGCTGATTCTTCGATTCCAGACATCAGTGGTCAATCTATTTAATATTAAAAAATGTATATTCTCATTCAGCATTAACAGTCTATTCATACCTAGGTACCACTTCACCCGAAATAAGCAAGGGGGCTGAGATATCACCATGATGCCCATGAGCAATCAAGATGCAAGGTTTGGTTTCGAACCACGGAATTTCTAACCAGAAAGTTCACGTCTTAATCACTAAACTATCTCGAGCTCATGACATACCATGGCTGATCACATAACAAAAACCGAAGAAGTACCTTCTGTCCTTAGTGAACTACGTCCTGTGGGGACAATTATCAGCGACTGCAACATGGCAACGGTCAGCATTGTTTTTTAATCTACACTAAAAAATGAAGAGAAAAAGGTGCACAAAGGGGAAGTGTGGGGATATGAAACAGGAAAATTTATCTTCTTGTGGAAATCGGCCAACAAAGTGTCCACATCTCAGTGACATATCCAGAACTCATGTCGGATTCGACCAAAGATTTTCCACGGACCTTGGTCAATACAGCATAGTGGCCGAAAACAGTTTGCTTGATAGTTTGGCTAGGAAGTGACGTCTTGTTCGGCGCTCGACCTGCTTACGTGACAGGTTCCATGGTGGTCCAGCCATGTGCAAGGAAAGTCACAGCCAAGACGTCCCGAAAGTCACATTACTCCACTTCAGTATGGCGGCTTTTATTCTGGTTTGCTGTGTCACGGCTTGCGAAGTAGAAGATTCGAATGGAAAGCAACACTCTTTGATTTTGGACACATACGGAACAGCAACCTTGAACTTATGGGGTCTAGCCACCCTGACTGATCACCCGAATACTGCAGTTATTCTAAACCTGCTTCACATTGAAACATCGATGATGAAGTCTGTAAAGCAGTTTTCTCAAGTCCAGGAATGTTTCGCACGTCTTTTCTGCCACCGTACGTCTACACATGATGCAAAACACGGAGATGTGGTTGGTGGCGTAAAACACCCCCACTGTGAACTCCGAAACATCGAACACATAATAGGAACTGTTCCTCAAATCCTATACGTTGGTTTACGCATGGTTATGCAAGATATTCTGGTTTGTCACCAGACCGAAGGAATTTCGACGTCAGTAAAACCGAGAATAACTTCAAGAACACGCAAAAATACTTTAGGAGCTTGAAAGTCACGCAGGCTGTTCTGCATGGTCTATCGCCTAATTCTAATCAAGCATAATGTATAATTTTGATAAGATTCAAAATTTTCCTTACCGATCGTGGTACACACAGTACAACCCCATGGGAGAAGGAAGGACTGTGGAACATGGCCCTATAACAACACTCGTCAACCTAAATACGGATGAATATTGCCCC